TTCCGCATAGAAGATCCTCATTCATACACAATAGAATAAACGATGGCCAACAATTATAAACATACTCCATTGAAGAATATAAATACAGAGACTATATAAATTCTATCAGGAAAAGGTTCGGTTCTAATTTACATCTATAGGAAGGCTTCGAATTTCTTTTGTTTAATTGTATATACCCACAGGCTAGTCGAAGAAGGAGGCATATCCTGATGTGCCCAAGCATTTCACAAAGAAGATGACTGCTAATTAATTATGAATCAATTATATGAGAACATGACAAAACTATTACAGTGAGTGCTATAATATATTTCATGAAGTACTGTTTTTTTTTTTAGAAAATGGTTGGGCCTATCACAATATCTCAGATGCTATGACTGACCTTTGATGCATATATAAAAAATGCAAGCAGATTTCTGCTCCTATTTTTTATTTATACAATTACTTGTAAGAATCTTAAAGTTGGTTCTAATTGAACTAACTTTAAAAACTAACTATGCATGTTTGCTATTAGCAGAAAGCAAATAACATCTATAGATAGAAATACAATTGTATAAAATCCCATATAGCTAATGTTTTCGCTACAGTATGAAAAAGTTATTTTCGGTTTGTTTTCTTTTTTTGTTTCTTTTTCTAACACATCTTGATGTTTTCGTTTTTAATCTTAAATTTATTTGACGCCTAAATCCTAGCGTATTTTAACGATTTTTAAAACTTTATAAGAAAATCTACAGTATTGTCTTCTCATTATAATGCATAGAGTTCTGGGAACAATATGATCCCAATTGAGCTCCAATAAGAGCAAGCTTCCTTTTGTAACTTTTATCTCGAGGATTTAACATAAAATTTATAAGATAATCATCATAAGCCTAATTACATGAGAAGTATAGTTTTGATAATTTTTTCCAAAATTGGTGTGATTGGTTTATACACTAAATGTGTTTTGCTCAGAAATCAAATCCAATAAACTGCTCATCACAAGATACTTATTAGTTGGTTTACTATTTTTTTTCAAATATAAACAAATATATATTGAAATTAGTTTCAGAGTACCATGAGCAAAGTAATAAGACAGGAATGCTGCACCACATTGGTCAAGATAATAATCATATACATTGAATTTAAGAAGCCCTCAAATTCAAGACACAACTCTTTATTACTTGGGGGGTAATGGAAATAGCTCAAATAATAAAAAATTGGTAATTTTTTATAATTTATTTCAAAATGTGATAGTAGTTATTAATAAATTTTGTTTTTGAAAAGGAAAGTGTTTTTAAAGTTAATGGTGGAAATTTACTTAGTATTTAAAAAATCTTTATAGCTAAATTGTATAAATGAAATTTAAGATGCATCCCATTTTAAAAATTTAATTTTAATGAAAAAAAAAAAGTGCATCTTAAATTTAAAGCACTGTTGTTATGAAAGAGAGCATGAATGTTGTTGACCTGATTCACAGTGATAAGTTAATAAAATCTGGCTAAATATAGAGAACATACAAAAAATGATTTAACAAATAAGTAAAAATGAACACCTAGCAATGTTGGAACAAAAAAGGTAATAATTTTTTATATTTATTTTTTTTACTGAATACTTGATGGTTGAATATTGTAAATGATTGAGGAAGGAGACGGTCCAGGGTGGCAGTTAAAAAAAAGACTAAAAATAGTGAAAAAAATATTTTATTTCAAGCCGACGTTTCGACCCAATTATGTAGGTCTTCTTGAGGACTAGAACAAACAAGACACAAAAGAATATGGAGAATTCTGAGGATTACATGAAAATTACAAATAGTATGAACAGAATATATTTAAAAATATTAAATGGATCTAATAACAAAGTATAATGATTCAATGAAGTATAACTAAATAAACATATGAATGAATCTAATAACATAGTAAAAAAGATTAAAGGAAGTATAACTAAGTAAACAGAATAAATGAAGTATAAATTAATAACTAAGTAAGCTTAAATTAATAACATAGTTAATAATTAATAACTAAGTAAGCAAAGTAATTGAAGAATACGAAACAGAGTAATCAATGTATACTAAATAGAGTAATTATAATCAAAATATACTAAACAGAGTAAATGAAGAATAACTAAGAACCAGAACCTAAATTAAAGTAAATAAAAATTGGTAGCAGGAGATAGGAAATTTTTTTTTAATGCAGAAAGGAGGAAGGATAATATAAATAATTGTGAGTAATACATTAAAAAAAAAGTTTCCTATCTATAATAATTGTTACCAATTTTTATTTTAGGTTCTGGTACTTAGTTATTCTTCATTTACTCTGTTTACTTAGTTATACTTCATTTAATCTTTTTACTGTTTTATTAGATCCATCTATTATTTCTATATACTTTCTATTCAAACTGTTTGTACTTTGCATGTAACCCCTAAAATTCTCTATATCTTTTTGTATCTCGTTCGTTCTAACAATGAAGAAGACCTCCATACTTGGATTGAAACATGGGCTTAAAATAAAAAAGTTTTCACTATTTTAAGTTTTTTTATGACCCAGGACCATCTCTTTCCTCAATTATTTTTTTACCATTGAGAGCTTTTAAAACACTAAACCTATTCGTATTGTACAAACTTAGAGGCTAGCAAACTGTTAAACCATTGTAAAAAAATGCTAAAATTTATAAATAATAAAAATAACTTTTGAGTAACACTGTGCGTTTATGGTAATAATATAAAACCTCAGATGTAAATTATCATCTGTCATATAAGATTTTTCAGTCTTCTTAATGTTACATCAGTGCAGAGTTGGGCAAAAATTATCTGAATGATGAACACATTTTAATTCATAAAAAAATTCATGACTAATGAATTGCTTTTTTATTTGTTTGACTGACATAAAACAGATAAAAAAAAAGGTTTTTAAAAACAACTAAAAATTTAGTCCTTCATACATGAATTAATTTCTAATTTAAACATATTTTAAAATTGATTATAATTTTTTTTTCCTCTAACAAAACTCCAATTTGTTTAAGTGGATGTACAAACTATAGCTTTTTTCTTCTTTGTTTTACTGAATCTTTTTTAAATGAGCAATCAAGACGATTGTAAGTCTTCTGAAAATGTTGTTGCTTAACATCCAATATTTTTCTTACTTTGAAGGTAAGATGTTCAAAAGAAATTTGTAATCATTTTTTTTTTTTTTTTTTTTGTAATTGTCATCATATTAATTTTCCTTCTATTTTTAATTATATGTATACATTATTAATTTTAATAGTACAGGATTTTTTTTTTTTGTTACGTGGCTATAAATCAGAAATTATTTGAATTATAGAATGTATAATGGCATTCCAGGATAAATGCCCCAAATCAGAGTAAATTAAAACATGTATGTATTTTATTGGTTTATTAGCCTCTCCCTCAGCAGGTACTTCTTACAAGAAGGTTACCATACAAACAGCAGACGATTAAGATTTAGAAACCTAGTATATTTTTAAAATAAGGTACATTTCAATAACACAAGTTTGGAAAAAATTGAGCACCCCTTACCCAATCGATCACATTTCAAAAGTCGATTTGTTGGTCTTATTTATTGTCAGTTTACTGTTTTTAAATTTTTTTTTTCATGAAAGGATGAAATTTAAAATTATGAAAATGGAAATCCGTGAGTGATTTGGCAGCAGTAGTGAAATCCATTTACATTTATATATAAGGGTAATGACTACTTTAAATATATTATTATTATAAGGTTTACTGGTTTATAACAGTTTACACTCCCGACAAAATTTCTCTTTATTTTTATGACATTTCAGGATCACTTTATTATCTCATCTTCAGACCATATCCCATCTTTCTATCATCTATTTTTAAAAAAAGAATTGTCATAATTTTTATTTTTATAAATCATCCCTTAGTTATGTTGTGGACTCCTCTGGGCTCAGTGTCTGACGAGGCTCTCCCTAAAAGAGTCCACAATATAACTAAGGGATGTTTTATAAAAATTATGACAATTCTTTTTTTTTTTTAAATTAGATGATAGAAAGATGAGACACGGTCTGAAGATGGGATAACAAAGTGATCCTGAAACGTCATAAAAATAAAGACAATTTTTTTCGGGAGAGTAAACTGTTACTTAACTTTATTCATATACCTTATATAAATAAACATCTCCCTTAGGACTTATGAAAAATATATTATTATTATTCAGATAATTATTCATTTACATAAATTTTCATCTGAATGAAATTTTAGTTGTAAATAAATGACTAAAAATTAATTCGGATACAATTTCAATTATTTTTAACATATGTTTATTCGACTAACACCCAACTCTGTATCAGTGTATGTTGAAACAGTTGTTCTTAACAGCTTGCTAACACCAATGATGATCCATTTTAATTTAATTGTATAGTTTTTTTTTATAAGAGTAAAATTTAAATTTTACTAAAAACATCAAATAAAAATTCCTAAACAATTAATACCATTTGTTTCCTAAAAAATAAAAATTTTAATATTCAATAATTTTGTAAAAACTTGTTTTGATTATATTCGGATATTGAGAAGGGCTTCTACTAATTTTTTTCATTTAATTCAGTTCAGTGATAGTGGTGGTCATGTTTTGTTTGAGAAGATTTTTGCAACTAAAAATTATTAAGATCGTTGAAAAAAAAATTTTTTTTTTCTCAGAGTTGACAAGTTTTAGCATTAACACTATCACCAGAACTAAATTATTTAAACTAAAACATAATATTAAAAAATGGATTTACTAGAGTAAATCTGGGAATCAAAATATACTTCACTATTGTAGACTAAGAACATAACTGTATAGTTTATGGTACAGCACCATATGAATAAATTAAATATTTTGTTAAAAGAAATGCAAAGAGTGAAAGAAGAGGTATTCAATTTATATAATGAGCAGTTTATTTTGTTATGATGCAAAAAATTATTTTCAAACCTATAATAAAAAAAGGAGATAAGAACGTGTTAAGGAAAACCTGTAGAAAAGGATCTATAAAAATTAAAATAAAATGAACAAAAATAAAAATACAAAATATTTATTTTATCAAAAGATTAAAACAACAAAAAAATAAAAATATAAAATAAAAACAAAAGTGACGTTTTCAACAAAGTATGTAAGCGATAAAATATTCAATTAAAAATAGTGCAAGGGTGCCTCAAAACTGTTTTAACAGCAAACAGATCTGACTCGATGATGAAGCCGACAACAAGGAGTACAGCTAGCTCTGAGAGGAACAGGGAGACAGCGAGAGCAAGGAGCTTTTCAGTGGAAATAGGTTGCCGTGAGGTGGGTCACCTGGGTCGGGAACCACGGGGGATCGGGCTCGCCCGCCCCCGAGCTGTAGATCATTCCAGCTCGTTGCTGTCTATGAAATGTGATCGCACCTCCAAATGTAAGGCCAAGTCAAGGACTAGATGGATCAGTGCTGGGTGTTCGAGGAGCTCGCTTTCAGGCAGGGCTGGATGGCATCTGGGCCTCAAATGGCGACTCTGTAACAAAGGAACATTTTTTTTTAAAAGTGATAATTAATAGTACTCAAATATGCCCAAAGAGTGTTAATTCTCAATGGTTGCAACAATTAGAATAAATCTTCAATAAAACAGAATCATGGGTAATTGATCCATTAATGGTGCAAACAGGATGGGTATTTGTCAAGGTGGTAAAAGTCAAGTTTACCATAATAAGATTCAACATAAATGATTATAAGAATCAAAATTTTATGATAAACTGTCTAGACAGATAAGTTTCACCAATTATTTAAAAGTATGGAAATGGATGAAAGTCATAGACGGGGCAAGTTCTTAACTCAGTACAGCTCATTGGTGGCATTGGATCAGTTTAAACTGGGCTTAACTTTAGGAACTTGGCCATTATTTGGGTAGTTAAATGATAATCAAACGATTCGTCAGTTTAAATTAACTATAAAAAGCCGTCAACTATCAGACTTTTAAGAAACTGACTTCTGACATGTCTAGGAAGATAGAAAACAAAGATAATACAACTAAGAATATCAAAAATATCATTTGGTATGTATACATGATATATTTCAAAAAGTCTAGAACCATAACCATTTAGCCCTATATTTTCAATAACCATGTTATATTTATTTTTTGTACAAAAGTAATTAAGAGCACTTTCACATATCTACTTTTTAATAGCTGCCAACTTTTACTTATTTATAATTATAAAAAATATCCTTCTATAATTAATTCTATTAAAAATTATACATTAGCCCATCATCAAGTGAATCTAGTTGAATAACATTCAATTAGTTGAAAACAAAATTTATTAATTGAATTAGTCTCATAACATCCAACGTTTACATGGAAAAAAAGGACCAATCACTAAAAGAAGGTTCGGCAGAAACAATCTTAGCCTGATGGCTTAATATTAATAAAGTTTTATTAGAAAACATTGGTTTGAAATTGGTAAAAAGAAAACAGTACTTCAGTGCGAACAATAAATTTTAAAACTCAATTGAAAAAACAGAAAAATAAAATAAAAAATATAATAGGAAATGAATTAATAATAATTAATTGATAACTTGAATCAAGCATATTAATATTACTTTTCTCATTTTTTCTTATTATTAGTTTTCAGAGGAACAGGAATAACATGATTTTTCTTCGTTTTTAAAAAAGGAACAGTGGTTTTTTTTAGTTACAGGAACCCTTTGTACCATCTTATTGACAGCATTACTAAACATTGCATTATTAATAGACTTCAACTTATCAATTTCAAGTTTGAGAGAATCCACTTCACTTCCTGATGTGACAACAAGAGTATTTCTAGCTATGACAGGAGGCATTAAATCTTCAGTTATCATGATTTCAAAAGAGGGCTCTTCATTTTCATCAACCTTTATGGGATTGATAAAATCGTGGATAAATACATATGGTTAGAAATCATGGCCAAAAGCACTTTCAGGAAGGATCGTATGAAGAATATTAGTTACAGGACCTTTTTGTAAAATAGTCCTTAAGCACTGTCGACTTTTAATGTGCCAGATTTTGATTGATTCGTCATTAGAACCAGATATAATATGACAACAGTCAACTGTACACGACAAACAAGTTATCGATTTTTCATGACCTTTAAAAACAGGTAATCTGTCATCATGTTGTAGATGGTTTTCCAAGCTTATAGGTGGGGACATCAATGAAAATTCATGAATGCCACCATCAGTATTACCAATGTATAAGTAGTTTCAACAGGTAGCAGTGCAACAGATGATAACTGAACATCAAACACTAAGGAAAGCAAAACTTTCCAACTGATTAAATCATATATTTTACAAGTCCTATCTAGTGAAACTGATATCTCACGAGAATGTGTATTTCCACTCAAATATAATAAATCTGAAACGGGTAAAATATGTTCAGAAAAGATATAAAGCAGTTCTGGATTATTTCCTTTTAAGTAAAATATACTTATATTTCACAAAGTGACCAAGCCATCTTCACAAAATTTTATTACATTTATAGGCTGAAAATGTTTAGAACCAATTCCTATTGGTCACTTACTATAAGAATACTTTCTCATCAACTGTTAAAGCTATATCTTTAACATACAGCTGTCTTCACTGAAAGCTATGGTACCCAATAGCTATGAATCTTTTATTGTCATAGTGTTGTTTATTAAAAGGCGAAGCATTATCCCTCTGGCCCTTGTTTCTGGACATTTTAAGGTTATTATTTAGCTTTCTACATGAAATCAATACTTTAAAGTATAATAATGTATTAATTTATTAATATTAAGACATTTAAAAAGTGACAGAAAGGATAATTTTTCCATTTTGTTTATTCTCAAACAAATAAAATGTAATTTAACAAGGTGATGTTATAAGTTTCTTTTCTTCATAAATTAAAGTAGCATTTTATTTTTACGAATGTTTGTAAATATGAAATTTTCATTTTATAAGTAATCCTATTTAGTGATTTTTTCTCTAAAGGACACCTTAAATGATCAATATTATAGAAGGATTATAATTATAGCCAATATATTGGAGGGGTACCTCACAGGGGTCAATTATATTGAGCCAATATTTTATTAGTTATGATCTCGCTTCTGTTAAAGACAGAGATTTTCAAAGATGTAATAAGATGTAAATGTAATTTTTGATGAAAATAAATTTCCTATTACATTAATTGCTTTGCCGATCAGAAAAAAAAAATGTGTTCTTTGTAATGTTTATTTTATTCCTAGAAATTAAATGTTTCTTGTTTCAGATTGGTTCTGTTCTTATTTCCTAATATTAAAAAAAAAATTTAATAATAAAAGAAATTGTTATTAAATATTGTATAAAAATCAAGTTTTCAATGTTTAACAAAGTTAAAGAGTAACTTTGAAATAGTTAAATACTGCCATTTTGTATTAAAACAAAATTTAAGGGAGTTCTTCATTTCCTTCTCCAAAAAAAGTATCCTCCATCAACCCAAACATATTGCCATTATACATTTTGAAGAAAAAATTTCAAAGGGAGATATCCCCAAACCCCAAAAAAATTAAATTAAAAAAAATTATCACCCACCTACCCAAACATATTGCCATTTTATCTTTTAAAAAAATTCAGAGGGGGGTTAACTCCTCCGCCCCCTCAAAAAAATTAAAGTAAAACAAATATCACGCAAGTACCCAAACATATTGCCATTTTATCTTTTAAAAAAATTCAGAGGGGAGGTTAACTTCTCATCCTCCTCCCCCCCCCAAAAAAAGTATCACCCACCTACCCAAACATATTGCCATATTAACTTTTAAAAAAATCCTCCCCCTTCCCCCAAAAAAATAGTATCATCTCCCCTACTCAAACATATTGCCAAGAGGGCACCAGAAATTTGGTATTGCTCAGAGCTTCTCAAGATCCGTATATTTGGTTTAATATTGTCAATATAGCCCATACACGTAGAATTTTATTGACACTGTTTCAATAATATTGAAGGAGCTTCAATAAAAATAAAAATAAATTGATATCAAACAGTTTTATTGACATCAATATAATTAATGCCAATGTAGCCCTTACACCGTCAATATGTTAACGAAACTCGATATTGAACCTGTAAGTGGCCCTTAAGGTTTTCTTGATTGGTTTAATATTCTTTGGGTATTTAAAAAACGTATTTTTATGAATACACGTTGTTGAAAGAAAGCCTTTACTAGCTTTTCTTCAATTTCTACAAAAAAAATTACATAATTTTTTTAGAATATGGGATTTTTACTTTCACTTACCTATATGTACAATATATAGTAAGGGTAAGGATTGTGATTGTGAAAATGATCGAATGTGAGTTTTCAAAGGAAATACATGTTTTGAGGTCTCCTGAGTCCAAATAATCAAGTCCCGCGAAATGGTCTCTGTCTGAGTGAGTGTGCGTGTGTGATCAGTCTAGCTCAAAAACAAAAAGTCATATGAAAGTGAAATTGCATATTTAAGGTTTTTATAAGCCTTCAATGTTACAGCAACATTTTCATCAAAATCAACAAAATGGAATTGGTACTTTATCTAATCGTTATAAAACATTTTGACAATTTTCTCAAAAACGGCTCTAACAATTTTAATTAGACTCAGTATACTAGTGTATTATTAAGCAGATTTTAATATTATATAGGTTTTATTCTCATTGATGTTCTCTATTAAGACTTAAATGGCTAGTTTTCAATAATTGTTTCCTCAAAAGTACCTTTAATTTTTTTATTTGAAAATAATTAACCATTTCATATTAATCTTTGATATAAAATATAGATAATTATAAAATATGAAAGAATTTGATAATAAACTAAAGGAGAAATAAGAGATTGTGATGGATAATAGTTGTAATAGAGGAATCAAAGAAATACAAGTTCACCCAAAAGATTACAACAGGCTTCCATATATATAACATGAGCTTAATATAATATGGACTTCGACAATATTATGTACTTATACATATACGGTTTTCATAAATGTTATCGTTGGTATTATTTAATATTTAATTGTATAAAATACAGCGATATAAAAATTAAAATTTGCATATAATAAGAGAACTTAAACAAATAAAAATACCCATAATGAAATGTAAATAAATATAGTGTCTATAATTTTTATTTCACTTTCTCTTTGTTTGAAAATATTTATTTTTGCTTAGAAAAGGGTGGTAATTGAAAGTCATGTGATGTGTGCACCAGATTTTTTATGATAATTTTTAAATTTTATTATTGTTGCAAGATGTAACAATTAACTGTCATTCTTTAAGATTCCATTAATAGTCATGTTATAATGAAAAATGCATGGAATATTTTTAACAACAAAGGAATTCTCTTTAACCTGTTGTAAAAAAAAATTTTTTTTTTTCAGAATATATATGTGCTATATATAATGATAATTGGTTAATGCGGTATATCAGTGATATTATATATGACTAGTGTTATGAAAAGGGAGAAAAAAAATAATATATTTTTATAATAATGGAATAATATAATGTAACAGCTATGTTCATATGGATTGATCAATATGCTGAGTATAAAGCAACCCTATGTTTGAGAGTAAAAAAAATAGCAAATGAACCTTTCTCTCACTTTTTAAATTTATTAATATTAATAAATTAATAAGTTATTATATGTTAAAGTGTTGATTTCATGTATAAAGCTAAATAATAATCTTAAAACGTCCAGAAACAGAGCCGGAGGGTTAGTATCGGTCTAGTGGTTACGTCAGAGCTCGATTTCTCCTCACGATTTTCCCTCTGAGTTACCGAACCTGGTTGTTTTATGGACTTTGCCCTATGCTGATTTCGTAAATAATTTTCAGGTAAAACTACGTGCATACACATTTCGTAAATAATTTTCTCGACTTTACACATGTAAGAGGTTTACAATACTTAGCACTGGTTGCATCAATACTCCTATAGTATTTTAAACTGATTTTAATGGTGATTCACTTGCCCGTTTACCTATACATTGCTTGGTTCATCCAAGAAATCGTACTCTAATGATTTCTCTCATCGGATTTTGGAAAATGAATTTAACTCAATTTTTTTTTTCTAATGGACACATTTAAAGTTGTATATATTTTTTAAAAAATAGGTAGGAAAGTCATGTGAGCGGACATACCAATTTTTTAAATTTAAATCATTGGTAACATTGTGTTGATTTTCTTTATAACTCTTCCATTCCATCTAATGGAGAGGTGAGTGGAGGGGATTATCACTATCTTTCTTGACAATGTATTTAAAGTATTGTCAAGTAAATTTTACTAATTTGATTGGGCTTTACTATGTCTATGTCGATATAACCTCTGAATGTGGCTACTCTGTTTTTATAAAATCTAAAGTAATATTTATAACAAATAGTAATAAGCTAATAGGTAATTGTAAGACCAAGACTGAGTGTGCAATACCAAGACCAAGACTGAGTGTGCAATACTAAGACCAGATATATTGACGCAAGACCAAGACTGACCCAGTATTGTCTTGGCCTCAGGGGTGCCCATCATCCCAAGGCCGATGGCGCAAGAACCTATTCCAACCCCCTCCTTCCAAGATATTTTATTGCTCACCTTTCTTAAAAACAGAGCAAGCTAAGGTAGAATTAGAAAAATCATAGATTATATATACATACATTTGCTGCGGTCAGTTCCATGTGTTGCCAATGCCCATTAGTCCGAAAATTCATAACCCTGTCAAAATTTGTCCCAATCAAAAATTCGTCAAAATATGGCCCTTCAAAAATTTTGATGGCGCAACTTGTGCCATGAAACTCTCTTCTGGGCACTCCTGCTTGGTCTTGCATTTGGACAACATTGTGTCCCAAATGAATAAATTTTATTGCATGTCATATGGTGATATAATCTACGGGTCCTATTAAACTGTACTATACACTAAACTCTACATGAGAACAGGCAAGATGAGTATACTTATTTTTCTAAAGATTAGATTCATAGATAATCCCAAGAGCTTTCCGAAAACAATATTTTTAATTTTAATTTTTAAATTAAAATATTAGAATATAGTAAGGACGATATTGATAGTTGATAATATCGAAAGTGATGGCAACAATGGTAAAATATGGAATATCGGAAGAAAAATATCAATATTACGATATTATCGATGATCGATGGCCATCCTTAAATGAAACATGAAAGCTGACTAAAAGTTACCCGACCCTTTTAGACCTTCATCAACCGCTGCTTGTGAAGAATACTAAAGGATCTGGTGACCTGAGATATATCTAGAATACTACAGAGCAGCTTCCTATTCACTTCCAAATAAGGAAAAAGTAATGGAAATGGGTAGGACACACTTTGAGAAAAACAGATAGTGGCATCGAAAAATAAGTTTTGCAATGAAATCCACAAGGAACAAAAAGAAGAGGAAGACATACAGAGACTTGGCGCAGATATGTTCAAAATGACCTGAGCTATGCTGACAAGACTTGGCCAGAAGCAAAAATGATTGCTGCAAAAAGAGTGAAATGAAACGTGCTTGTAGATTTACTGTGCTCCATCAGGAATCAACGATGAAAATAATAATTTACATAATATTTTTGTTGCTTACAGTGTATAGAAAATGATCGAATTTCAGTGGTAAATATAATATTTGATTTTTCTTCAGATTGAAATCTAATGATTGAAAAAGAAGACACTAAATCTAATGATTGAAAATGAAGACACTAAATCTAATGATTGAAAATGAAGACACTAAATCTAATGATTGAAAATGAAGACACTAAAATCATAAATATATTATTTTTTGTTACTAATGGATCAATCCATTTGAAAATAACCAATTTGAATTAACTTTGTGCTCAAAATTTTTGATTTTTTTTACCAGTTATTCCATATTTATTTGGGAGTTCAAAACCATTGTTAAAAAATTATCATAAACAGCATTGCACTGGCTTTAATTTTTGTTCCCGATCCGTCAAGTCCAACCCACGCTTTTCTCAGTCTACAGAAGTAGATATCCATTCCTAAAAACATGTTAAGGAAAGATAAAACACAGAAAAGGCAATTTTCAACGAATTTAATTTCATACAAGAATTGCCCTTTAATGTAGTGCTCATCACATTAGGGTCGATCCATTTGAAATCACCCTGACAATGTTGCTCGACATTTTTAATTTTTATAATTTTTTTACCACTTATTTCATATTTGTTTGAGAGTTCAAAACCATAGTTAAAAAAATTTTAAGGCTCACAGCTTTTTCTTGGTGGCCATTTTGAAGTTGTTTTTCGACTGAAAACATGTTTTCGGAAAATATCTGTAATTCTGGTAATTTTCTAGACATAAAAACCAAAATAAAATGTGAAATAATGTAGATTCTTTTCTCTACATTTCTGTTATGGATACATCATCTAACAGGAAAGGAAAGTGGTTTAAAAAAATCATGGAAATATACATAAAAGGAGATTTTTAGCACAGCAAAAGAGTCTAATAAAGAAAAGAGTCTCAACTTTAATTTTGTTTGCATATGCAGTCCTATAACAGTACTTCATGCTGATAAAATCTCAATCTTGAAAACCTTGTTCTTTGTAAATATGAATTTTCAAAAACGGCCAAAAATGTTTTCGGCGACTTTTGATGTTTGACAGAGTGAAATATTATCAAATTAATACAGTTTATACCTCTTTATGATAGGAACATTTGATATGAATTCTATCATTGAGACTCAATTGTTTATATATGTTGACAACAAATATTGCTACATGGTGAGAATCCCTTTTTTTAATAATAGATTAAAATATCTTAAGAATTAGACATTTTGAATCGATAAATCAGTGTTTTATTAAATTTGTCTGTATGTTCATGAGTGATTCTTGATCTTTTAAGACTAATAGAGGAAGAATCAGCAATGGGTGGTGAATATTTATCATTTTTTTTTTAGGTATAAAACAAGAATAAAGAATTTTTATTATTAAAATGAAGAATTTTCAGCCTGAAAGACGCCCTCCCCCTCTGTAGATCCACTAGTGCTTTCAGTGTGACTGTAAACTGAAGGCAGAGATTGCTGATGGCAGCAACAGATCTCATGCCTTGTGCATGAGCTATCTAGGTGCCTTAATTGGCAAAATATTGATTTGTTTAAAATAAATTTAATTTTCAATAAAGAGATTTAAGGCTATTAATTTTAACTTTTCTTCTATTAATCTAATTTCATTTTTACTCTATATATATTTTAATGTAATGTTCTGTAATTGAGATCTATAATATAGATTATTTTTTAATGATAAGGCAATACACACAAGGGTCCTTTAGATTTCATTTTTATGTTTAGGTATATCAAATATCATTTTTATGTTCATCACAGCCTATATGATTTCAGAACCCCTAATAGAACAATTATATATCATTATAATTGAGAAACATAGTTATTTCATTGTAAATGCTATTCTCAAGCCCAATGCTATTTGGATGAAAGATACAAATATTCAATTAATAGGGAGGTTGTAACACCCACAAATGAATGATTACACAAAATCTTCTAATGTGAGAAAAATGTTTATGAAAAATGGGCGGAAGTTGGCAGAAAATTCAACCTTCCAAGTAATAAACAATTTATATATATTTAAATAAAATTATGAGGATTATCAATATTTTTTTTAAAATAGACATTCAAAGGAAGTAATGAGAAAGTTTTACAACAATTATATTTAATATTATGAATTTATGTCTTCAGCAGCCCAAACAAATGAAAATCAGACAATTTTGTCATCCACTAAAATGCCAAAAATTTGGAGTCAGATTTGATCAACTACCTTCCTGACAATTCATATCCAGGAGAGAGGGAGGGTACAAGTGATTTCCATTATTTTTGCAATCTTCTGGACTGCATTATTTATTGGTAATATTATAATGTGAACCAATCATCTCTACTTGATGAATTATTGAATCCACTGAAAGTTGGAAAAGTTTGGAAAGATTTTTTCTTAATGATAATTTTACAACCTCTATGAAATATTTTCTTTAACATATTTCAGGTATTCCTTAGGTATTTAACTTAGGTATTCCCCAATAAGTGGAATACCTAAGGATCTTGCATTTGTTTTATGCAATTTCAACATATACTTTTTTGTTGTCTTCCCCTGCCTCGCCTTTTAAATTATAGGTTTTGGGGGTTTTTCCTGGGCCAGGATTGATAGGAGGGATTAATACCAGAATTAAAAGCCCCTCTCTCTCCCCCTTTCCCATCATCAGGATGTGAATTCGTAATTATTTTACCATAGTACCTTCAGTTACTCAGTATGCAAGGAAACATGTGTTTTGCACAAATGTTAGCCCGCTTTTGTTGATATGAACATAACTCACCTTAAAGGAGCGATGCAAATGAAGAGCTATATCACAGAAAACATATCGAAGAACTAGGAGTCTCAAGAAATCGTCCCCGAAAAATTGTAAATATACAGGATCTGAAAGAAGAAAAATGTATATAATAACAGTAAAAATCACAAAAAGGGCAAAGATTAGTTAGTGAATAGGCGTTATTTAGTGAATGAATTTTTAAACATGAAAATCAGTTAATATTCAACATGATATAAAAAAAAAAAAAATTACACAAATAACTGTCAAGATCGTTTCTGCTGGTTCCAAATTCAATTTTATTTCTTCCCTTTACGCTGGTCCAAAGTGACTCATTCCTCTGGGAATGGGCTCTATGTAGTTTTTACTATGGTTCACTGGGTAGTAGTAGTACCACATACCTGGAAGCTTCTTTAGTCCCTTGTAAGACTGCCGTAAGTCTGAGAATATTGTTGTACCTGGACGTGTGGAATGTTTTATGCATTCTGTAATCTTGGCTGCTGTCCTGTTTGTCAGTGCATAAAGAAACATTGCTCTTGTTATCCTGCACATGCCTACAAATACCCTTTGATTTGGGTACACTCTTCCAACTTGATACTTTCTTTTTGAGAAACAACTCTCATCTATTTCTTCAAGTAGTCCATCACCGCCGATTGATTGGTTTTTTTAGAACACTTCTAGCACAAACCTGTCATAAAAATTGTTTCCAATCTGTGGCTGTTTTTGACATGTTTAATTCTTTCCAGCAAAACTTAGTAGTAGAATAGCCATTCGCCCAAGCATAAAAGAACAAAATGCTTTTCCTTAATGACAATCGACAATTGTTAAATCATGTTCCAATGTACGTTCGAATATCTTGTCGGCAGCTAGTATCTATATTTGGTAGCACTTCTTTTTGGAAAATATACCTTCATTAGGTGTCCTTTCCTACATTTTTCATTCTTGTGAAGTACCTGGTACTTTTGGAGTGTCGTAAATGCAGCTACATTTGATTTTAAGCAATAGATTAGATTTATTAAATTCATCTATCTATAATGACGGCATCAAAACAAATAATAGTAGAATAAAATAATGTGTAAAATGTATATATAAACTCACCTATTCTACTCCTTGTAAGAAGGCGACTAGCTTCGGTTACAAAACGGTCAATAAATGACTGGCAACGTTCCCAATGATGAATCGGAACATTAGTAATACTACAAATATAACAAAATGCAGTGAGCGGGCTGTGTAGAAACATTGTAAACAGGTTTCCATTGTGCTGTTGTTCTAAAAACACAAATATCATAAATAAAAAACTACTATATAAATTTTATTATCATACAGATGATTATTAATTACAATTGAAATTACACAGATTTTAGTTATTTAATATTAAATTCAATATATTTGTAATTTAACTAAATAAAAACAAAAATTAACACTGTGTGTGTTGCATGGTTATAGTATGTTTAAGGAGTATTTAATTCTAGGTTCATTGAATAAAAAAAAAAAAAAAAATGAATGAATAAGCAGATGAATCTTTCTTTATAAAGGAATTGTTGAAGATTTTAATTACCATGAAAGTTAGGAGGGATGTCCTGTGGAGACATAAGGATGACCAGAGGTTGTCCAAAATACCTCGGTAAGTGTTGGAATACAAAGCTGTTGTCAGAGTCCACAATGACAAAGAAAGGCTTCCGTGTGAATGGATACAAATCACCAGGATAGAGACTGTAAAAATTATTGGGATGTAATGTCACTAGGTATAATTTTTGGGGCAGATTTCGTTTTGAAAATAAGGGCAATGTAATGAAAAGTATATCCTGTTTTAATTTAAAATGATGAAAAAATAGAAAACAAAATTAAACAAACAAATGTGAAGTGTTATTACTAAATTTTATTTATAATAACTTAATAAGAAATTGTTTTTGATATAAATTACCTTATATTTTTTTTACATTATTTTTTTTTTCGATTGATTTTATATTGGCCAGATGTGATCTTTTAATTTTGTTCTATTTTGTTATTCTCAAGGGACAGTGTCCCAGAATAAAATTATTTTTCTTTCTTTCTTTCAAAATAATAAGATAATAATGAAGTAAGTGGCAAACAATTTCAATTTATCACTTTTTAATTGAAAACCACCAGAGAAAAACTACTAAGAATTGTCCAAAAAACTTGAACAAGAGAAAATCAAATTCAAAGGCAAAAAAATTTATCATTCCCTCCTAGTAGTTATTTTTGGAACCAATTTTTAACGGGGATAGACCCGTTTCCTTGCATAGTTGATCTGATATCATGATGATGGTTCTCCTTCATCTATTTTAATACCACCAATCACTCAATTTTGAAGAAACTTTGACATTACCTGTTTCTCAACCTACCTACTTCCAGAATTTCCATATGGTTTAAATCTAATGTGCCTGAACTAGGGCAGGAAGGACAAGTTATATATAGGTAATAACCTAGACAAGTACAATAGAAAATGACAACATAAATAAGATAAAAGATTAAAGAAAATTCGTTCGTCATTGGGTTACAAAAGTTCATTATTGAAAATAATAAAACAGAACATGTGCAAAAAGTTCAATAGGCTCTATCTTTGATATTAATGGTCCAATTGTTTTCTGACTGTTTTGAGGATTTCATTAATTTTCAAATGGTAATGTATAAATCCTACATAAAAGAGGTCAATTTTAAGTTATTTACAGATAATTTTTTCTTATCTTCTGCTAATGTTTTTAGTTGAAAGGCTTTAAGTAGAAGACTTGAAGTTTTGCCAAAACCTTTAAAGCCATTTTAATGCCACAGTCAATAGAAAATGATAAATTTGGCAATTTCACAGGCACTATAACAAACAGGGTTTGTAAAGCCTTCAGAGACCAAAACCCAAACAAACAAGAAAAGAAGTAACAAAATCAGTTTACACATCCAAGCAACTCTATGTAACCAATAGCGGATCCAGGATTTAATTTTGGGGGGCTTCAGCCCAGAAGCTTTTTTTTTCATATATAGAACGATAATTAAGTTGGAAAAACAGAAAGATACTAACTACCTATATGAAATGGTGTTTAAGTGATTCTTGAAACCCTATTAAATGTAATTAAACGAGCAATAATACTTTAAGACATATTTTTTTTTAATTTTTTACCATAAAACATGGTTACATTTTACTATTTTGGGGAGAGGGGCTTCAGCTCGAAAGCCCCCCCCTCCCCCATAAATCCGCCTGTGTATATGACTATATCTATCTATTCATATATGTTTTTTCCCTGTTACACATATAGGCAGAGTAATTGGCACAACAAAATTGTTCTAGACTATTAATATTGGATTTTTTAATACAAGTTTTAAAACAAAGTCATGAAATTTCATGTGACTTTTATTATGAGTACAACTGTGTACTCCAGCAAGTTTTTTTTTAAATATACATTAGCACCAATTTTATTTTTATTAACTCAATAATCAAGATTATAATTATAAATTAAACAGGAATATTCAGTTACACTTTACCTTTTTCCATAGTTTCATTTCAATAAAGTTTTAGAGGTTTTAACAATACAACAATATCATATTTAGCGATTAAAATAATGATGTTAAACACTTTCTGTTAATGAGCTGTGAACACATACTTATGTATGTGAACACATACTCATTGTGTTATACAACAATATTTATTTTTATTTATGTTTTGTTATGAGTGTTTCACTAATTGAAATAAAATATACATATGTACAAAAAATGTAAAGTATTTTTTGACCTGTCTAATAATGATAATATGAATAATGATCACTTACCAATGCATATCCTTTGAATGAGCACCTTTTTTATTTGAATGATCAACTTCTCGCTTACTATTCGTAACTACACCGCCTAAGTCATAACCCACTAAATGAAAAAATGGAACAATATTTATTGAAATGAAAGTACCTAATGAAAATTCTTTGATTTTTAGATGTGTAAGTAATAACTTACTGTCTTCAGGATGCTTTGTTGAACCAAAACATCCATCGGCAGAAATATAAAGTAAAAGAGCACCGTTGGCTGGCAGTTCTTTAAAACCTGGAGACATAAATTATTCTTACTTTAAACTGAAATAAATTGAGATGGTTTACAACAAAAAAACAACTTCAGTAATAATATTTGGCATGAAAATCTTTAGTCTTATAAAGAGTATGTTTCAAACAAATACCAAAGTCTGAGAGGTCTACATCAAGATGGATTTCAAATATTTAAATTTGGATGAAAATTCTATTTTAATATGGAAATTTCTTTCTTTCAATATAGCTATTTTTTCTAAAATATTATCGAGGGTATGGACAAAGTAACAAAATTTGAAAAAAAAAAATTGTAAGGTTTGCAATAAACAAAAAGCCCAAAGTTTGTTGTAAACATGTCTGTTATACGTTTGTTTCAAGTCTAGTTCTAAAAAAAAAATAAATAGTTTCTTGAGTGAAAATTTTACACTTAACAAAGTATTAAATCTGCATTACTGGAAATCTTTTAACAAGATAAAAAATAAACGCTGTAGAGGGAAACTTTAAAAATCATTTGGATAAGATTTAATACAACTAATATATTCTTAAATATATTCATCAGGCAATAGAGGATTGTAGTAGTTTAGAAAAATAATTAGTATTGTAGAGACAACCAGTTTATGCATACCTGAAGCTAAGAAAACCATGATTTGGCTAAAAGTGGGTTTGTACAAGAGATATTTGTGCGGATTCTCTCTTTTGGACGGGCGATCTCCATTCTCCTGGCACATTACCATCGCTGGGTAGCCTACACCACCCTTGGCACTCGATACACTATAGCTTTTTTCCTGTAAACAATCAATTTATAAAAGAAATTATCAAACTTAAAAAATAACAAAATTCATATCTCATAAATTAAAAGGAAAAGATAATAGAATAGTTCATACATGAATTAGTTTAATTGTATATTCCAAAAAGATAATTCTAGAATCTAAAGATATGACTCCTTAACTCCTATTTTCTCAACAGTTCCTTCAACTTAATAGTTTTTACCAGGATTAATAGTATTAAGTAAAAGCATCCAATTTTAAATCCTTAATAATAAATAGAAATTTCCAATAATATAAGCAGAGAACTTTTTTGAAAGAGATATATATGGCTTTCAGAAAGAAATATTGAAAATTTGAGAGAAAAATCTTTCACATTTTAATCAGAGCGATCTGGGATCAGAGTACTAACACCTGGAGAGGAAGAACCGATAATTAAGTGGTTAGTCAATAAACTGATCAGTCAATATCAATGCCCTAAAAGTAGGCAGGAAATCAAGTTGAGGCCAAAAATGAGATTGATTGATTCAATCAACGCATGGCAAGCAATAGCCCAACGTAGGCAGAGTTGGAGAAGAGGGCAAACACATCTACATGGTCTTTAAAGCCAGTAGAAAAAAAAATGTATTATTGGAACCAGACATTGGGATAAAGAACATATTATTTTTATTGAAAAATGTAAAAACTTTCATTTCTATTACTTTTTGAAATTAAACATATTTTGATGCTCTGAACAAAAACAGTTTCAAGTTCAAAATCTTCTGCAAATAATTTTAATTAAAATGAAAACTCTATATCGATTCAAATAGCAATTTAAAATTATAAATGATCAATCCATGTCTAAATAGTTCAATGAACAGATGGGTTTTAGTAAGGGTTTCACAAGGATAAAAATAACAATCTACTTACAAAAGGCACTCTGCCAGGGGCTGGTGAATCATACAAATGATTGTAATCCTCTTGAGGCTCCCGTTCCAACGTCTGCAGCATTCTAAACATATCCATTGTCAACTCGCTGAATTTGACCTATAGAAAAATTTTGACAGATAGTGAGAAATTCATTAAAATAAAATATTTATGAACAACAGTTCGATGAAATCAGGACATATAATCATTCATTGCAGGAATCAGAGCAAAGTAGACAAAATTGATATAAATTTAGACTAAGATCTGCAACTTTGTTGAAATGAAACGGATCTCATAAATTTATGAGGATTTAAATATTAGTCAATTTTTTAAAGTACTGTCAAAATGGGTTACTTTCCACCAGTGTTTTGGACTTTTTGTGATAATCTGCGTTTTTTACCTACTTATAGTAATCAGAAAAGCATAAAATTTATATCTCAGCTTCCTAAAAGTAATAAAAGAGAAAGCACCTTATTTACACTGTGTTAACTTGTATAACTATTTCAGTTTTTTTTAATTTTGTTTAAATAGTGATTAAAAGTAGAGCAAAGTTTATTGGTTGGTTGGGAGAATTCGCTCCACTTTCTAAAAGTTATTAAAAATGGTGCAATTTAAAACTCCCTTCATCAAAGATAACAACCAAAAAATATATAATATGTTGAAAAAAAATTTTTCTTTCAAATATTTTTTGAGAAAAAAAACATGTTTATTTTTTCAAACATAATCAATATTTTTCATAAAAATAAAACGAGTATAAAAATATATCAAAAAAGACATTTTCACTCAGTATTTTTTTTTTATTAATTGGAAATTACTAATAAGACTGATATATTACTAGTATACCCCAGTGAGAATTCTCAAGGTTGATAGTTATCCTTCTCCTTTTTCAATGAATAAGGAACATATTTTTTTTAACAGTATATTGAAACATACTGCTTAAGGAGTACCCATGTTTATACATATATAATATTATGAAAATAGTTAATTCAACACACATAATTTGTGAAGCATCATACTATTGTAAAAGTAACAATTTACTGAATAAGTTCTTAGCTTATCCTACTGGAAGTTATCCTTTCATTTTAATAGTAGGCAATTTTAATAAGACCCATCTATCCCTAAACCTACACTAATCCATTATTATACTCGCTCAAAGCACTAACAGATCTAGGATTTAATTTTGGGGAGGCTTCAGCCCGAATGATTTTTTTTTTGTATATATATATTAGGATAATTTGTTTGGAAGAAAGAAACTAACTACCTATATGAAATGGTGTTTAAGTGATTCTTTAAGTCCTATTAAGTGTAATTAGACAAACAATAACACTTTTAGAGGTAATTTTTTCATAAAACATGGTCATATTTTACCATTTTGGGGGGGCTTCAGCCCGAAAGCCCCCTCTCTCCTCCCTTAGATCCGCCTGTGGCTCAAGGCCTATTTGTTTGGTACAGAGGAGACTTGGTTTCTAGATATCTCACTTACTAAGAGTACAGAAGCCATACCTCAAGATTTTTTTATTTACCATAAACATCAAAAAATTTCTTTCTATATTGACCAAAGTGTTCAAGGGATCGCAAAACTATTCTCCTCTATTTATGTTTTAATAGGTTTTTAACTTTGTTGAATACTATCATAAGCAGCAATATTTTAATTTTTAAAATCCAAAAACATGATCCCATGGCACCTAAGAGGCTTTTGGTAAGAATTATGATTCATCTCAAAAATGGTACATTTTACAACTTTAAAATGCAGAGCCCAGTTATTTTACTTTTGAACTGAAGCAGGTATAGTTCTCCACATAAAAATCTTTAAAACACAATTTATCTAGCCTTGATCCATCAACTTTTGAAAACATCTGAGTTTTTTAACCATTCAATTTTTTCGATAACTTTTATTGCAGTTGTACGAAGATTTTAAGTTTTGAAATGACCATTCACCACTTCTTTCTGGGATTTCCTTTGGTTTGTTATCTTATTCATTGCTTATAAGAGTTGAAAAAGAGAACTAGACTACTGTATTATATACAGCAATAAGCAAATCAGGACAATTAATACCACTTGTGAAGGCTCTTTTACTGGAGAAACGTATCTTCAATTTCTGATGTAAAGTTATCCATAGTCATATTTTTGGAAATTAAGAAAGATTAATAATTACAACTAATATTTTCTTCTTAATCATAGATTTCTTCTTAATAAAAAAAATAAAAAAAACACATGAACAACTTACAGATCACAGCCACATTTACAATTCTATGAAAAGCAATTCAGCAATAAAAGTTTGAGATACATTGTCTAACAGAGAATACAACGAGAAGAAAGAGAAATACCAGTAAACTTAAGTTTGTCTTTTCTCTGAATTTTGTATGGAAGATATCCGTCACATCTTTCTCTCCAAAGCCTTTCTCACCTCAAACTACCACTTGTTGGACACACCCTGCACTTGACTTCCTTGAAGCAATCTTATTCCTTAAGTAGCAAAATGACCCACTTCAATAGTATATTTTACGAAATTTTTAAAAAGAAAAAAGTTATGGTTTGATTCAAAGCTTGTTTACAAAAATGTTCCATTTGCTAATACCCATGTTATCATACTGAGTGAAAAAAATTTTAACTGTTTTTTGTGGTATTGCAGAAAGATGTAACAAAAAATTTGCCTCCTATTTAAAAAAAAAAAAAAAAAAAATCTATCCCAATTTGATAGTTTAGAGTTGCTCCAAGATTTGAATCATTATAAGGTCATAGTCAATGGAAAAGGCGGAAAAATCTTCATTAAAATTAAAATTTTATACTAACACAAATTAAAAAAAGTTATTTTTTAAATATTTTGATTATTTTTTCTGGATGTGGATTTCTAGATTTTATTTGTTTCACTGAAGTATATTCATCGTAAAATACTGCAGAGATAGTAGTTATCAATTGATTGGAAATAAAAACAATTATTAGATAATGGTCAATTTTGTCTTTTTAAGTGTATAAATGGTTTATCATAACATGTGATGGTTCTAATTGTTTTGTAGAAATAATTAGGAAACATGGATGTGAACTGCCTTTCTGTTGCATAAACTTTGCAAAGCTTGTTATGTTTAACATAATTGATAATTCAATTAAATTAAAAGACAAAAAAGAAAAGAAAAACAATTTTTGAAAATATGGAAAAAATTATTTTGTTCAGATCCCAAATATTGAATAATACATATTGCGGTAAAAATTAAATTGTAAAATAAGCTTTAAAAATTAATTGAAAAGTTGGAATATATAGAAATGTAAGTAATTGCTTCAGAGTCCATTTTTAACTATTGTAGTTTTGTTTACCAATAACTGTTTTTCTACACAAGTATCTTTATTCGTAATAATTATTAGGTATACACATACAAATTTGGTATACACATACAACCTAAAAATTACATTGAAGTATTTGTATATATTATAAAAATTATCAATTTTCCAGCATGATTAATAATTATAAATTTCAAAACTAATCAAGCAAAAACTCCAAAGATCAAATTGAAGGTTCTCCAGTACTAATAAATCAGCAACCATTTACCATCTTTCAAGATCTTGGACTATTTACTATAAGTTGATTGTTTGAAAATGGTAATGCAATAAGAAATATCTTTCATAAATGTATTTTCTTTGAGTCTCTATTTTATCATGCAGATATAAAAAAATAAATAAAATAAAAAAACATTCATTAGGAAAATAAAAGGGGAACATTTTAATTTATTAATACAGATAAATTAAAGTTATTTATGCTTTATTACTGTTATTTTTACTTCATGGGAAACTAGCAGGAAGTATAAATATTTATTCTACTAAATGACATTAAAAATACGAAAAATGGTTCAATAAATCATCACCCCAGGAGAAAATAAAACCATACAATTAAAAATAGTTTTCCCATTTTTATTTTATTTTTGTTTTGGTAGGGGGAGAGGAAAGGAGAGGGGGATACAATAATTGAGATGGGATACTATTGAACACAAAAATTTAATAACAATTTTTTTCTGTTTTAGCCTAAAGAATTATTTTCAACCTATAAGTAGATGGTTTCTCAACAACCAGTTACATCTTTAAGTAAAAAAACATAATTTATTAATAATATTCATTACCAAATTTAATATATTTGTATATTTTTCACCAAATAAGTTTACAAAGCAAGAAAATATGTCATAACTATATTAATAGTTCAAAATTGTAAAAATCTGAAGCCCTCACTTGTCCCGCGATAACACAAGTTGACAACTTTGGAGTTTTCTATTTCTGCTATGGTTAAATTTTACTGGTCATATGAGAAAATAAGTTAAAAGAGAAATAATGGGATCAGTTGTCCTATAAAAAATTCCTGTTCCATTGGTCTGATCTATTTTCTTCCTAGTCTATGAAAAAGTCCACCAATTCTTTTTAAGCTTTATATGTTTATTTTCCATGTTCCTTTTTCAGGTTCCTGTCAAACTGAAGATAACCTACTTTAAATCTTGCTTCAATTTTAATATTCTCCAGTTCATTTTTATTGTCATTGTTAGTGTCTTGTCATTTCTCTCACAGGGTTATTTCTCCAAATTCATGTTATTGTTATTTAAATTTTTTTTTCAGGGATTCAGTGTTCCAGGGTTTGTTTTGAGGTATATGGTTTAATATTAATGAAACTTCAAATATCCATTTTCCTCACACCACTAAAAGTTATAAATATATATTTTATGTAATCAATGGCACACAGAGGTTCCCATCCCTCTCCCCCCCCTCCAAGGTCGATGGCACAATGTCTGTTCCCTCTCTCCCATGATATTTTATTGCTCACTTTTTCTTAAAAATGTATGTATTTCTCAATTTTAAGCATAAAGTTTAAATATTAGGAATATAATCATACTGTGGATAAAGAAAGTATTTTTAATAAGAAATAACTGCCGGATCTGAAAAATTTGGAAAAGTCAGGGAATATTTTGATCATAGAAATTTTATGAAAAACACTGGAAGTAAAGAAATTTGATGAAGTAGGAGAGGCAAGTGTGAGTTTGATATAATGATTAAGAAGCATTATTAGTCAAAATAAATTTATGTAATCGTGATATTTACACAAGTATGCATATGAAATGAGATGTGTTAATGGTCTACTCATAGATTTTCTATGACAAACAGTCATCTATATTGTTACAAGAGCTCATCTAACTTCATTTCTCTATAATTTTATATATCATAACAGTATAATAAACATTATAAATGAATAAAAAATTGCTTTTTGATTGTTTTTTAAAATGTATTTTAAAAATTATTTGTTACGATACTGTTTCAGTGCCAATAAAGGCAATTTGTTTTGTGTTTTTCAATATTTTTATATATCGGTCATTTTCCTATTTCTTAAAATCTTAGATATTCAAATAAGTAAGTTTGTATTGGAGATCGAACTAAAATTCAAAGTTACAAGCTGAATATATGAGTTTTGAGAATAAATATAAAATGTTTAAGTCATGAAAGTCTAACATTTTTCCTTAATATTTTTTAATTACCTCATATTACTTGCCCTATCAAAAGGATCCCACAATATCGGATTATCCAGGGCTCCTAAATGTTTAGATCTGCCGCCAGAGGTGCCCAAAAGGGGATTTGGTGGCACAACTTGCGCCATTCAAATTGTGGAGGTAGGTATATTTTTTTGGGGGGGGAGGAGGGGGTTTGAATTTTTGAGGAGTGCAAATTTCGGTGAGGTTTTGAATTTTCAGATTGAAAAGTTCCATACTAAGGGCAAGGAGAAGAAAATATAGAACAGACCGCAGCAAGTGTAATTTTATATGATCTACGATTTTTCTAACTTAATCTTTTTGGGGTTAAGTTATGGGAAAGTTCTTTTAGAGCCTGTGACTGAAGGATGACCAGTGCCAGACAAAGCACCTCAACTTCATACTTATTGAGGCCAGTTATGTCAACAGGTGATTTATACTATTATTACTTACGCTAATAATTGGGAAGTTATTTCAAGTTAATAAAAATATATTAAAACAACCGATTTTGTGTCTAGAAATTTGGTATATTCTGTATAAAGTAAACAAAATCCATAAGCTAATAGGAAAGTAGAATGCTTGCAATCCTTTTAACTTATATTAATTCATAAATCCCTTAAGTATTAATTAAGCATTCTATAATTAAGTGCAATAGAAAAATTAAAATTAAATGAAAAGCTAAAGGGGAAAAACAATTTTCTTTTAGCTATATCACAGAAAGACACCAGCTAAGTAAAATTAACACCACATAAATAATTACTTTAATAATGTATTATTTATTGGGATATATATAAAGCAATCATGAATTAAATTCTACCAAATTTATGGCAGTAATATTAAAATTTTATGAATCACCATCAAAGATAAAGATTATTTTCAAAAATTTTAGTTTTTATGTATATAAGTTATGTACCTTCATGTATTAATTAACAAACAAGTAATTTGATTAAGATTAATCATAAATTAATATGAGAAGTTGTAAGATGCACATAGCCAAATTGGATTTTTTCTGATAATAATTTATCAATTTAAGTAAATAAAAATCTTACCTGGTCAGAACAATTCCCAATAATTACTATTTCCTGAAGTGATAAATTCATTATCGTAGACTTTTCAACTGGAGGCGTGGTTAAAGGACTTAGCCTAAAAATTAAAATCTTTGTGAAATACTTATTTATTAAAAAAATGTACATAATTCATTAATACCAAATAGATAACTAATTACCTATGCGATAAAACTATTGTATTTGAATCAGCATGAAGCACACTAACAATGCCATCAGCTTTAATAAAGCTTTTAATCTCATCAAGAACAAGAGACCATTCCAGTTGGTCATCAGGTTCGTAGGTGCTCGTATAATCTACTATCTGCTTATCTAATTCCTGTTTTTAAAAAATAATAAAATCAAATTTAATATAAAAACACTTAGAACATACTTCATAAATATCAATAAAATGAACATACCATTACTAAATCTCTGACTAATTTCATTTTTTTCAATAAAAGGCAAACAACAATGAATCTGGCATAATACCTCAACTTCTTCACCATTAGGTCAGACCTATTAAAATGAGGACTATACAAATGATTAGATATTATTAAATTGCACTTACCTTTTGAGATTCGTTCATGAAATAAGAATTATAATTGTTTTAAAAATTAACCTGTCTTCTTTGGAAGCTCGAGAATAGTACGCCCTACCACGGATGGCAGAATAGAAAGAAAATGCTTCATTCAAATAATTAGTTTCACTAGTCCTCAAACTGAAAAACAAATAAATATAAAATATTTAACAAAAATACATATAAAGAAAAAATAAAATAAAATCTATACAACTGAAAATATATAATATAGTTATAATGCAGCTATTTCAACTAGAAACATGTGGTGGTAATATTGGAAAGTTTTAATGGCTGATGCATTGCTGGTATATCATGACAATGCCTAAGTTGGCCAACTTCCCAAAAACACTCTCTTAAATAATATTTCTTAGAGCATATATCAAAACAAAAGAAATTTTATATCTACTCCCTCTGAATATCTTTGCTTTAAAAATTATTATTAAATATACAATAAATTTATTTTTAAAATTAAAATTAAAACTTACTAATAGTGATAGTAAAGTTGTCCTATTTTGGAAGCAATTTCACCTATTTGCCATCTCTTCAGACCATATTTTGTATCAAGAATTTGTCTGAAAAAAAAAATTAATTAAATTTTCATCAAGTTCAATCATAGATAAATGTTTTCAATAATAATATGAGAAACAACTACCTATGCTGTTGCTGAAATTTCCAAAGTTTTGTATAAACATCAAAAGTTCTGCCAAAGTAAGTTTGCCATTGCTTATGCCCATACTGTGGAAGGTCCCTGGAAAAATATACTGCTTATTATCCCTGTTCTTGAATGAAGTAGAAGAGGCATCAGATAAACAAACATTAATAATTTTTAAGAAGAATGATAACATTATCTCTTATCAGAAATTTTGACAGGTCCAGTTTGACATTTCAAAAATTTAGTTAGGCTTCGAAAAAGAAAAAAATATATAAGCATTATAACATGATAAGGGGTAATTTATAGTTTTAAATATAAATATATAAAAAAATAAAAATAAAATAATAATAAAATCAATAAATATTAAAAAATAAATAAAATAAATAGAGGTCAAAAAAAATTTTTAAAAGATTAAAGATTTTAGAAATGAAGGTTAACAAAATGACACATTTGTAATGAGGGTAGTAGTAGGGTTCCCTTACCTTAGTCCATTGAACAGATTTTTAGATTTGTCAAGTAAGTGACAAAATTCTAAAACAATTTTTCTTTCATGGTCATCCATGGCGGCCATTTTGACCACCATTTCTAAATTTTATTATTTTCTACTCATGTAAACTGCTACCTTTTGGAAACAGTGGTCATTTTCTGACCATGAGTAGAAGTGTTGTCCATTACATAATAAAAAAAGGGATGGATTCCACCACTCAGAGGATGCTGAACGTGTTGAAACTCATTGATAAATACACAACACTCATCACAAAATCAAATAGGGAACGATAACATGTTTTAAACGAGACGATTTAATGTATATAAAAGTGGCGAGCGTGGCCGCCGTGACCGGACAGCTAGGGAGGGTTCTCTAGTGGATTGTATTGATTGGCATTTTGAATGAGGCCTTCAAAACCCCCTCCCTCTACCTGCTTTCGTCACCCCTCGATAGATGCCGCCACCGTAGATTTGGCTTGCTAGTGTCACCTAGTAGATTATGCTAGTACTAATGTAATTGAAACGATCTATTTTAAACTAAATTTACTTCCAGTTCATCTTGTGTTTGTCTACAATTGTAATTGTCAGGTGTGGTTAGATAAATAAAAGAGTAAAGAAAAATTTAATTCATATTGATGTGTGTTTTAAATTTCTTTTCAACAAAACAATTTCTTTATTTATATAAATCTTTGTTTTGATTGATCTGTCCTAAAGTGTTAAGAGGATTTTGGTTTTTATTAGTGCCATCTACACACATACTAGCACACTCAAAATTGTAATATTAAAGTTTTATTCTTCAAAGTTCTCATGACTTATGAAATAATATATAACAATAAAAAAATTTGAAAACTAAAAATGTAATTTATATATTAAATCAATATGTATCATATACTTTCGGTAGATTTATTTACTATCCATTGAAGCATAAATATTTCTAAGTACAAATATCTATATCTTTTCTTTATTAAGAAAAACTTTTATATTTAAAGTGTTTATTTTGACAAAATCAATAAATACTGATTATCAAAATAACATGAATTTAAAACAGTTTCTGATTAACTATGAAATGTGTATATATATATAAATCATAGACCACAAAATGAGAAAATTAAGAAGTCTGCTTCTCTGATTTATCATACTGTAAGGTTACATATATTAACTTTAGAGCTGAATAAAGCTATAATGTGTCTGTTAAAGAGAATAATTAGTGAACCAAGTATCACAAATCTTTCACTTGTAAGAAAAGTGACAACCCTTCTCCCTTTCTCCCATCTCCCTCCCCCAAAAATGAATATATATAATTTATTATAGAATATAATACATATAATAGAATTTAGTAATTATTTTGATGAGGACCACACGGGTTGGGAATGATTCACAATCACTTAAGTAACATTTTTTCATTAAACACCTTCAGTCTTTTGGACAAACCTGGATGCATACGGTACTCCATGAGCCAGTGTGATCAAAGTGATTGTGAACCACGCATACCCTGTGTGGTCCTCAACTAAATAATTACCTACGATTTGACTTCATACTGGAAGTTATTTAGAAACCGTTGTTGACCCTTTGCATCATTTTGCTTTACAAAATAATTTTAACTCATGGAGGAAGAAGAGTAGTGTATCTTGGCTTAAGATGAATATTTTATGAAACAAAAAATTTTTACAATTTGTGATCTTTGAAGACTGGTTTCCTGCAATTCTATTTGGAATAAAATTTCAGCTTTTAAAAGTGTGATTACATTTTGTTCATGTAAGTTGAAAGGTGATATATCACTAGCTTTTGTAAGAATTAAAAAAAACATAATTGTTCTGCTTAAAATATCTGAAGTATTAGTGAGTTTAGATCTATAATTTTTTTTTTTTTTACTACTGATAATAAGTAGATATACTAAATCTATGTAACTAATATTACTTTTAACTAATATTTAACCATGTATATGTACAGTGCATCAAAAAAGTATTGGCACACTTAACTTTTTCAGGTTTCATTCTAAAAGAATCCAAAATTGATTTGCTAAATATTTTTATTTAGAAAAATACGTAATTGTGGTAAATAAATTTTAAAATTATTTAATTAAAAAATTCAGTAAATGAAAATTGACTTCAAGACGGTAAAAAAAGAATTGGCACACTTTAATTTGAGGTTCTTTCATGAAATGGATATTGATTAATATTTTGTCATCATAGGCATCTATAACATTGTGGAATCTTCTTGGTATTGACAAAATAAAATTTTGAGTTACATTGTATCCGATTTTACACCATTCCTCTGACAAAGTTTATTTTAAATAATTTTTAAAGAAATTTTATTTTTCTTACTTTAAATGTCTTACTTCATTTATGTCCGGAGACTGTGGTGGCATTTTCAATTGGCTGGAGACATTGTACAGCATCCACTCTTTTGTTATATTTGGAGAGTCATTGTCCTGTTGGAAGATAAAAGCATTTTTGATTTTCAGATTTTTGGCTCTACTTGTTAAATTATGTCGCAAAATGTCGACATATTGTTTGGAATTCATTATATTGTCAATAAAGGTTAAGTTTCCAATGCCATTCCATACCATGCCCTCCTAAACCTGGACACTTCCACCTCAATATTTTACCTCCTGTAGGTAGGTGCCTCACATGTCGAGTTTGAAACTCAGTATCAAATTTCCACCTAACGAACTTGTGGTCATTAGAATGGAATATGTTAAACTTACTTTTATCTGAAAAGATATCATTTTTCTAGAATTCTAGTTCTTTATTAAATTAACTAATTAACTAATTAATAAATATTCTTTTGTGCCCTTTCACTAAATTTTGATGGATGTTCTGTACGGGGTATGTTTAAAACTTTCTAAAGTTTTGTGCAATATTTTGAACTCTATTAAAACCAATATCTAATTTATTCACTATTTGTCGGTAGCTAAGTCCATTAGAATATAATTTACTGATGTGTTTTTTTAAACTGACACAATATTCACTGATTTTACCCATTTTAATATGGAAAATATACAGCAAAGACAAAAAAAGGTACTCATTTTTTTTTTTTTACTCTAGCTGATAATAAACATTTAAAACTGTGCCAATACTTTTTTGACCCTCAAAATTTACTCTTTATGTTTACTTTAAACTTAGCTTTTGAATTCCACACATTCATTGCTTCTAAAATATAATTCTCAAAGGCCAATTTGTTATATAAATATTATTTCTGGAAAATATCTTAATCCTACTGTGATTATATAAAATAGATTTGTTAAATTTGTTTGTATTTAATTTATTATCTAATATATTTACTTAAGTATATTTGTAGTATAATTATTCAAAACAATCAATAAGATACTGTTTCTTTGAATTGACTAATTTTTGTACCAATAAAGCAGGAATTTGTTTCATTACTTAGTAATAACATTTTTACTTTCACTTACCTATATATGTAATATATAGTAAGGGAAAGTATTGCATGAAAATCTTAGAATCTGGGTTTTCAACGGAAATACACGTTTTGAGGTCTTCTGAATCCAAATAACCAAGTCCTGCAAAATGGTCTGTGTGTCTGTGTGCATGTGAACACTCTAGCTCAAAAATAAAAAGTCGTAGAAAACTGATATTACGTATTTAAGATAAGTATATGCCTTAGATGAGACAGCAATTTTTTCCTTTAAATCGGCTAACCGGAAGTGCCACTTTATATCAACAGTGAAACACATTTTTACAATTTTCTCAAAAATGGCTTGTACAATTTTGATTAAATTCAGTATGTCATTGTATAATTAAGTGGCCTTTAATATCATTTAGGTCCTATTCCCATTAATGCCCAATTTTTATATACATCTTCCTTTAAAGTACCTTTAATATGGTTTATTATAAAAACTTAACTCTCTTTTATTGAAAGTAAACATAAAAAATGGCTAAATATGGGGTTTGAAAGAATATGATAATTGGAAACTGGAGAAAAATGCTTATCCAGGTTGAAAATGAATTTCCGGATATCGTTGGAAAGCGGAGAATTTTAGAAAAAATAATATCAAAAAAACAAAGTTGCAGAAGGTAACGAGTGACAAAAAAAATATAAATAATAATTTATAAACTAACATTATTTAACGTAAATTAGCTGTTCCCAAATAAATTAAATGAAATTTTCTTACTAAATGTAAACTTATAATTTTTATTCTAAGCTTGGAAAAAAAGTATTTAAAATCCACCAAATCAAGCCAATGCCATTGTTTAAAATACTATTTCATTGTACTTGTGTGAAAAAAGAAGTGAAATATAAAAATATTTCATGGATGTGTTTATAATATTAAATACATTTACTGTAGTTCAATAACTCTAGATATGATATTATGTTTAAGTAATTAGTTATCTATTGGCCGCTAATTTTGGAAATTCATCAAATAACCTTTTAGAAAATTAAATTAGTTAATAATTTGATGAATTTTCCCTTTGCAAAATTCCAACATTATCTGCTTACAATTAGTGTGACAACTTTTGACCTATCCATGGCAGAGATTGAAAATTTTCATTCATTTTAGTAAACTATACAATGGAAAAAACAGTTTAATAACTAATAGTTCTACAATCCATAATCGTTTATAGATTAAATATTTAGATATACAATACTTTCTAATCCCTCTAGATATATATGAGCCTTTCGGTTGACAGAATGACTAATTCCAATTTCAACATTGTTCATTATTAATTTTAGTGATGTTTCTAGTTGCAAAATTCATACTTTTATTGACAGTTCTATATTTCAACACTGCAATCACCAACTCTGGAATAAACTTACTCAATGTCTGTATTGATATAACTTTTTCTACTAGAAATATTACTGAAATGACGTTACTGAAATGTTGAAATTGGAGTTAGTCATTGTGTCAACTGAAAGGCTTAGAGACTGAAGTTGTGCGGTTTATAAAAGCTGATGGAGTAACTAGATTTTTATTGCGTAACGTTGATATAATAAATAGACTTTTTGTAATTTTAATGGTCTTAATAATTTGTTATCTGTAAGCTTTAAGCTCCATTAAAAATTTACTTCAAAAGTTTTATAATAGCCCTACATTGCCAGAAAATAATTTCTATTCAAAGTAGAGCGGTAAGTGAAAGTTGTGTGTTGAGTGCACCAGATTTTTTAAATTATGGAAATATGAAACACTTTGTTTTTTTATTCGATCCTTGAGATATTTCCACAGATACTCTGTAGTATTGATATCCAATGACTG